AGCCAGGCATGCTGGGATCAGACTTCAGGAAAACCTGTAGACTTACCCAGATTTGAACATTCTCACAGACAGTCATACTCATGCACAGGACAAACGTCTACCAAGTTACATTCTCACACCCCGACAGTACCCAGCTTCCTACTTCTGGCTGGGTTTTCTGTGTCTATGACACAGAAATAGATAGACCCTATGGTGTCCATCAGCAGTCCTCCAGGGCCTTGACCTATGCATTCTCTCACAGAAGGACCCTGGCTGAGTTCCCTGTGTGGCCCCACTGACATCAGTTTTCTGAGAGGGACCCACTGACTCCCATCAATAGCGGTATTGTGGGAAGCAAGACTCTGAACAGAGTTCTGCCTATGGAAGTCACTGTGGAGACAGTAGTCTCAGACTGACATACGGGCACTTCTCATTCATTCATTCTTCAAATGCAACTCCATTCTACCCTTAGACTTTGTCTGATATTTCTTGTGCCCCCAAGGGACCGAGGATACCCAGGTCTACAGCTGGCAGTACTTGTGAATTGGCCCCAACCATCTCCATACTCAGTTCACTATACTTTGTCAACTGCTAAGCCCGTTCCAGCAGCTTGCCAATCTCATCTTGGTCCAGACAAGGGGAGAGAAGGGCAACTCAGAATAAGTAGTACTGAATGTGGGCTGCCATTTTCCTTTTAATGATGTTGGAGTTTTGAGACAGGATCTCACTGACTAGGGTCTCTGATCCTTTTGCCCTCCCTTCCTGAGAGCTGGGATTCCAGGTGTGCACCACCATACCTGGCTACCATTCTTCATTCCTTGTGTAGCCTATCTCTGTCCATACTAGGTATTGGAGTGCTTCTCTAGGGGTTGTGTCATTCTATTGTTCCTAATTACAGACTTCATTTCTGGCCCAGAATGCCCAGAATACAGATCAAAGGGTACCTTGTAGGTGTTACAGAATAGTTTAGTTCAGGAAAACTAGTGGGACAAAGTCTAGACCCTGAATCTCATTGAACAGGTCATAAAAGGAAAAGCAAAAAACAAAAACAAAAACTTTCAGATGTCTACCTTCACCATGACCTTGCCCTTGCCCTCCACGACAAGCCCAACTAGGTGCCTTGCACAAAAAGAAGGCTTCTTGAAGGGGCAGCTTTCCCATATCTTCCTAGTAAGAGCTGCCCTGAGCAGTGCCTGGCCGGGGCAGTCTGTCTTCTGTGGTTCCTGACTTGAGAGCTTGGCATTCAAAGAGGAATGCTCACAACCAATCCCTCTAGGGGCCCCAGGGCCTGAGCTGGAGGAGATGCCAGGTTCACAAACGTCACTCCTTGGCATCTTGACTTGCTTCTTAGTCTTTCTTCCTTGGAATTTTGGGCTGGTCCCTTCTAATCCTTCACTGAGGACTACAGCTGGGGTCTCTGAGAAGACCAAGATGAGTAAAGGACACTAGCTATCAGGTGTGTGGGCTTTGACATCAGGAAAGCAGCCACTGGCCTCAGCCCTCAGATGGAATGACTCATTCTTCTAGCAGCCCACTTGAGAATTTCTCCTTACTCTTCACTCATGTAAAAGGAAGGAGATGCCTTAATCTCCTTGATCTTTAGGATTCCAAGGGGTTTTTGCTGTGGGATAGTCTGTATGTCAAGTGTGTTGCTGATTGGTCAATAAATAAATCACTGATTGGCCCGTGGCCAGGCAGGAAGTATAGGCGGGACAAGGAGGAGAATAGAGCTGGGAAGTGGAAGGCTGAATCAGAGAGACACTGCCAGTCGCCATGATGACAAGCCGCATGTGAAGATGCCGGTAAGCCACGAGCCATGTGGCAAGGTATAGATTAATGAAAATGGATTAATTTAAGCTGTAAGAACAGTTAGCAAGAAGCCTGCCACGGCCATACAGTTTGTAACCAATAAAAGTCTCTGTGTTTACTTGGTCGGGTTTGAGTGGCTGTGGGACTGGCGGGTGTCAGAGATTTGTCCTGACTGTGGGCCAGTCAGGAAAACTCAAGCTACAGGTTTTCTTGAATAGGAAAGTCATCTCAGTAGGTGTCAAGTGCCTATTTCATGAAGAAAGAGCTGAAAACATGAAAGTAGTTGTTTTGGGGGTATGGGGGGGGTACCTATGAATTTTTGCACTTAGTGGCACTCTTAAATTTTTTTGAGACCAAGTCTTATTTCTCTGTAATCCAGGCTAGTCTGGGCCTTGTTGTGTAGCTCAAGCTAGTCTCACATATATGACAACCCTCCTGCCTCAGCCCCTGAGAGTTCAGATTACAGGCATGAGCTACCATGCCCATCTCAACAGCAATGGCTTTTATCTTGGTCTTGACATGTAAATGCAGTCCTAAATGACTGCTCATCTCTTAACCATTGAGCCTGTCTCCAGCCTCATGACTACTCATCTCTTAACCATTGAGCCCGTCTCTAGCCTCATAACCACTCATCTCTTCAAAGAGGAAAAATAAACTGTGGAAAAGCTATTCTGAGTACGAGAGTACAGCGACTGGATGGCTGTTTGCTCTGGACCCAGCAGAACCAGCCAGAGGTTTCCCTGGTTGTGAGCACATTCAAAGGGAGGTATCCAAGGATGAAGACTATGATATGACATAGGCAAAAAAGCAGGTTGGTGGTCTCCCTTTCATTTGATAGAAAGTTCAAAGTCTTCCTTGGCCCATGGGGTCTCACATGTGTTGTGGCCTCTGTGTAGTCCCTCTGACCCTCTTAAAGCAGGGTCTGACCTTCAGTTCCAGGCCAGTCTGCATGCTACCTGATGAATATGCCAGCCTGTCATCTCCCCAGGGACTGGCTGATGGTGTAGCTGTGTTGTCTTACAGGTCCCATGTTACCTTCTTGGAGATCTACCTTCTTTATCTACCAAGTCACTCTGCTCTATTCTCTTCTGGCCACCATGTGACCTTTTGTCCTGGGCATTTACATGCATGCTCTCTCTGCATGGCTTCTCTAGGACACCCTAGCAGGTGCTTGCTCTCTCTTCTGTTTCCCCAGTCGCTAGGGTGACTCTGACAGAATATTTGTTGGATGACTGAGTGAGTATTCAGCCTGGGGAAGATAACATCATTCCAAAAATGTCAATGTGTGTCACAGGAAGGAAAAGGACCTGTATTCTGCACAGCATCAGTAGATGCCAATATGGGGGGTGGGGTGGAGCAGACTACAGCCCCACAGGAAGGGTTGACAAGCATAGAAATTCAAACAGTGTGAGTTGCTTTGGGAGGTGAGCACTCTATTTCTAGAAGCATTAAACAGAATCCGGACATGCTCTTGACAGAGATATTGTAATCCTATGAATGACATGCCTGTATCTAGGAGGGCCTTGGGTCAAGGATGGTTTGCAAATCTTTTTCAACCACAAATACCTCATTCCAAACCAGACCTACTCCACACATAATACTATTTCCAAGATACCAGTTTCCATAGTGTGCATTTTTTCTGGAATACTAAAATACTGGTAGACCACATCTTTAGTCATCAAGCTTTGCAATTTTAATTTTGCATGAAAAACAAATGCCTTTTAACACTTAACACAGCAATTCTCCACCTGTAGTGGAATTCCTAGGTGATTTCTTAAACACTGAGAATCTGGAGCTCTTCAATTCTAGAATCATTGGGCAGTGAAGATCAGGAATTGGGACTTGAACAAGTACCCTAATCATATGAGGGCCACCATTCCTAAGTCTTCCCTTGTCCTCAATCCCAGTGGATCATGCCTGATTCCAGGACCCATCACCAAAGGGGTGTCGCCTGCTCCATGTCTCAGACATAACACATTTGGTCTGATGCAGAAACACTGAGAGCAAAGATTCCCTAAAGCAAGGGGCCACCCAGCCCACCACTTCCAGGGACTGATACTTCTACAGCAAGTGAGTGCTCCTGAAGCTGGAGGGAATGGTGGTGGCCCTGACAGAGAGATGGAAATAAGAGGAGTCTGTGATGCAGACCAAAGGGTCCTGGGGTCAGGAGACATTCCCATCCTTGTTACAGAATAGTTTAGTTCGGAAAAACTGGTAGGACAAGGTCTAGATCCTATATCTCATTGAATGGGTCATAAAAGGAAAAGCAAAAACAAACAAACAAACAAAAAAAAACAAACAAAACAAAACAACCCCAAACCTTTCAGACATCTATCTTCTCCATGACCTTCCTCTCACCCTCTGTGACAAGCCCACCTAGGTACCTTGCACATAAAGAAGGCTTCTTGGAGGGCAGCTTTCCCACATCTTCCTAGGTAAAAGCGGCCCTGAGCAGTGCCTGCCTGGGCTGTCTGTTTTCTTTGGCTCTTGGCTTGAGAGCTTGGCATTCAAAGCAGTTTTGGAACTCAACCGGCTTGCTCCAAGGCTGAGACTCACATATATACCCATTTTCCTGTGCCTTTAAATGGATCTCACATTTTCTAGGTGCCCAGCTGGATCTGAGTTATTGTATCATGGTTCCCCAGGTGCTGAAGCCCTCATCTCAATATGCCTGTTAGGCTACCAGAATGGTTGAACTCCAGGGCTTCAGAAACCCCTTATATTTCTGCTTGCTCCTTCCTGGAGCTGGCTAGGCACAGAATGCAGCTTGTCAACACAAGCTTTCTATCTATCATAAGATCCTCGAGTATGTGTGTGTGTGTGTGTGTGTATATATATATAGTTAGGAGGAGAAAAGGTTGCTACATACACATAAGACTTGCTGGAGAGCTCTGCAGCTGGTGGAATGTGCCACCCCTGAACTCGTCTTCAGAGTGACTACCTCCCCAGTTTTGCAAATGCTCATTCCTCTCATTGTCCTGTAGAGGATTCCCAGGTAACAGGAACTGGACACCTTCAGGATCACTTAGAAAATCATAACGATTTTCATGGGAAAATGCCTTTGATTAGAACTCTCCTTCCCACCAAGGGTGGTGTCCAAATTTAATGTCTCCCCTAGGAATCAGTTATCAAGTGCATGTGAGGTAGATGGAGAGGTTTTTATTTGGGGCACTGTGTTGGACACAAATACCAAAGAAAATCAAAACACGCTGTTGAGTTTACATGAACTGTTATATATCCTTTAATAATGCAAAGGTGTAAACTTCATAAAGTCTTGCTGATTATCTACACAATGACGTTAGCGTTCTTATTAGTAGAAAAACATGATCTGAACCTGCTGTATAAATATTCTAAAAATGATAAGAGAACCCTCATGGCAGATGGTGTATCTGTACTGATTCACAGTGCAGAGGTGGAGGTGGGGGGGGGTGAGTTCACTCCCTTGGGGCTACCTGGAAACTGCTCTCTTAAGGACTCCTGGCTGGGCTAGGAGTCATAACTTTCATGGAGGGACCCAGTGTCTGGCCATGGCTAGTGCACATTAAAGCTGTCTCCAATAGAGTACACCATTACAAGCCACAAACAGGCTGGAATAAGCCCAAAGGTTTTCCAGATGGAACCTATGTCTGCTAAGAGTACAGGATCATGCTAGGGCTCTGGAAATTTAGGGTTCATCTCCAAAGGTCCCTTTAGAAATACTGACACTGTCCCTCTCCTGTGAGTAGGTCAGCGATGAGGCCGAGGCAGCCTCCAAGTTCTCCTAGAGTGAATAGTGGGGCACAGAGCACTGTGAAGCCTCTAGGCTGAACACCGGGGATACTGGCAGGTGGCCACACAGTTGGCTTCGCCTGCAGACCACAGTTCACTAGTGTGACATCTGTCTCTCCAGGGCCATCAGAAGAGGACCGCAGTGGGACCTCTCTTGCCTTCCCTGAAGCTTTCCTTAACTAACCTGCAATTCTCATATCAGGCCCTGAGGCCCCATGTTCTTTTCTCTGCTGTACTGCCCTGTGCCCAAGAGCCATCTTGTTTCACTGAGCTGGTGGGAAGAGGCCAAAGGTCCAGAGCAGAGGTTCATAGCTGAGCGAGAGGCACTGTCAGTTTTAGGTGCTGAGCACTGTGAAGCCTCTAGGCTGAACACTGGGGAAACTGGCAGGTGGCCACACAGTTGGATTTGCCTGCAGACCACAATTCAGGGTCATTTGGATTCCCAAAAGGAAAGGCTAGTCTTTGAGCATTAAAACGTAACAACAGAAACGAAACAGGTAAAGAACCAAAAAGAACATAAATTAAACGTCCGTGGAGATGTTCAGAGATGAGATAGGTAGAATGACAGGTGCCATGGTAGGGGAGGGAGTTTTTATTCATTGGAGGGTCCATCCCAAAGTTCACACGCCGATACTAGCGGGTGGTATTCAGCCTTGGGTCTCCTGCGTCCGATGTGACACACCCATTTCCTCTTCTGGGTGAATTGTACAACAGTAGACAGGAGTTCCTGGCTTTGCATAATGATTTTAAAAGTGTCATGGAGACCATTAGGGAAGCTGGACCACTCTGGAAGTGTTGACAGGCAGACTGCTCAAATGTATTAACACTGTGGTGGGGTGGGGGGTAGTACATTCCCTCAATCCCTTACCTTGTGCTCTTTGGAGCACGTAGGGAGGTGTGGAGGGTGACGGATTCACAGGGGATGCTTCTAACCTGTCTGGTATACTGTGCTTATGGTGATGATGGAGGTCATGCCTGGACCACAGACCCCAGGATCTGGAGGTTTAGTGCTCATCTGAAGCATCCTACTGTGAAGTGGAAGAATTAGCTCTGTTGGGATTCAGATAACAAAGCCCATTCCTTTTGGGCACATCACAATTTGGCCTTCTTCACAAAGACAGCAGAAGATGTTGGGCTAACACCAGCATTACAGCACCTTCCAGAATGTTCATCAGCTCCAGAAAATAGACAATTTCAACTTTCCCACTGCATGGGCCACAGGAGGATTTAATTCACCTATCATGTCAGCAGAGTGCTCAGGTGAGTCACCACATGGGTACTTAAATACTTAAATGCAGGCGAAGCTAACTGCCTATTGAAAGGTGGAGGACAGGGCGCAGCGTTAGAGTGAAGGGCACATGTGGTGACTTTAACCATCTGAGCCAAGGTTTAGAAGTCCAGAATTCTTCCTCTGCTGTATTTATGAACAAGAACAAAAACACAAGGAGCAGATAGCAGAAACATCTCCGTAAACCTTGCATAATGCTGTTTTTGAAAAATACTATTGAAAGAAATATCTCTCATATTCTTCCTCTCTCTCTCTCTCTCTCTCTCTCTCTCTCTCTCTCTCTCTCTCTCTCTCCTGCTATTAAAAAAGGAGAAGACCCCATATGAAGTGACAGGAAAGTATCACTGAATGACAAAAATCTCAGGAGGTAAATCTGTTTCCAATCACCATGACCTTCCTTGTTCACACACAACACTTGCTTAGTAGCTGTGGCCGGGCAACCGAAGTCCTGACAGGATCTTTCAAAGGGGGAACAATTGATCATTTTCAAAGGAACTGGGCTTTTAAGCAATTATAATTTGTGTGTGTGTGTGTGTGTGTGTGTGTGTGTGTGTGTGTGTGTGTGTGTGTGTGTTTTTCAAGTTCCTAACAGAGCAAAAGAAGAGTCACCACAGAGAAGAGCAGTGAGACCAAGGTGTAGGAGGTGGAACTTCCTCCCAGGGTGGCTGCAGGTGTCAAGCAATGGGTTCCAGAGGATAGGTGGTTGTTGAGACATAAATGTGGCAGTGGGGATGTCCCAGTGACGTCCAAGGTGACAAGTGTGACGACAGACACAGGGAGGGTGTGGGAGGGGAGGAAAGAGAAGGCAGAGACAGAAACAGAGGAAAAAAATAGATAAAAAAAAGAAAGAAAAAATAGGTCAAATATAGAAAAAACAAGACTCCAAGGTTAATTCAACTTAGTAAGTTAGGCTGACAGATGTTAGGAGAGTTCAGTGCCATATCATCAACATCATAGGACGGGGTCAGCAGCTCAGCAACGCCAGAAGCAGCATAGCAGGTTAATTCAGGGGTTGGGGGCCAGCGAGCAAAGGAAATTAAAGTGAGAGAGCCGAGCCTCCTCAGTAGAAGACCAGGGTCAGGTTAGGAGAGTGTTACCTCTCACTAAGACGAAGCCTCCGAGGCGCAGCAGCAAGTGTGCTCTTCTTGTGTCTACGTTTTTGCTTGTCGAGGCTGAGATGCAGTGGGCAGCTGCACTATGGTCAGAACACTGGGGACGTGGGGTGGTCTTTGGAGAGCCAAAGCAGACCTGTCTTTCTACTTTGCAAGCCCCACCATCGTGCTGGTGCAGTCCTGAACATCTCACCTGCTACCACCCTGCGGGACCACAGAATTCGACCACAAATCTATGTCTTACGATGCAAAGAGGTTTTATTCTTGGATTCCAAGAAAATGGCTAGGATAGTCCAACCAGAGCGGTCTCCTTTTATCACGTGGACAGCAGTCACAGAGTCATTGTGGATGAGGCAAGTACCTCCTAACCCTGTCTGGCTTAAGTGGAAGCCCGGATGATAATTCTCCAAGGCTTCCACAGGTTGAGCACTCTCCGGCATTTCTCTTGCTCACACTGGAAACCTAGAAGGTGAAGTTGCTGGCAATGCCCAGCCTGGAAACATAGCATGCCCAAGCATGCTGCCCATCAGTTCTCACTGTGGGGAAGAGCTAGCTTATATCCTGATGTGAAGGGCTTAACTTAAGCCTCACTAGTCCCCGAATCCTAAGAGGCTCAAAAGCATAGATCTGGACACACGTCACACTTTCAATTTCAAGGGCAAACTAACCAAAGAACACAGGAAAGAAGGGACAGAAGAAAAGCAGGGCCACCTCCATTTGGACATCCTATTGGGCCATAGTGAGGGCAACCTCCTGTAGCCACATCCAAGAACCTCCTTCTAGTACTGGGATCCTAAACTGAGCAGGAACGCCCTCCCCATTGTTCAACCAACCAATTGGCACATCTAGTCTACAGCTCAAAATTCACCTGCCAACTGCTGGAGGCCTCACACATTCCTCCCCCCTCACACACATACACATACACCCACCCACTCACACACAAACAACCATAAAGAGTCACACACCAAGATCTCCTTCTTTGCTACCCAGTTTGGCACATATAACCCTACCTGGCAGAAAGCCTATCCCCTTTCTGGTCTGACTTTCCCGGGAGGAGCAAGCTTGAGAATTGAGTTCAGCATCTAAGTGAGTTCTCCAGATAGGGCAGGCAAGATGGGCCTGCCCCAGGCTGTCTTCCTACCACACCTGAACATGGTAGAGCATAGACCGCCCTCTCCAACAGGCTGCATCTACATGATCTATGACCATCTCTCCTGCCTGTGGTTGGCATTTGGCTGGCTCTGGAAAGGCAGAATGATAGCTGAATCTTCTTGGAGGTATTTGCCTAATGATGGGACTGGCCACTAGCACAAGGTATCTGGGCCAGAAATCAGAGCTCTCACTTTATTCCCACACTTGAGTTGGTCCTGGATCCTAGAGACGAATCTGCATCTCCTAGGAGCACTGCTGCTACCATGGTCTAGCAGACTGGCTGCCCTTCCATTGATGGTGCTTCCCAGGATCTATGTTTTCCACTTGCTCCATTCCAAGACATTCAATTTGTCTTTAGCACAGTGGAGGGGTCCTTCACAGATAAGCTTGTGGCTAACTGGGCACCATCTGTTCCTTCTCTTGGGGTCACCAGAGAGAAGAGAGTTAGACCATGGTTGTACAGCTAAAGCAAGGGTCACATACAAACACCATAAAAACCAGTTACGTGATCCTAGTATAGAATGCAGATGGCAGAGAAAGTCTCATTAAGGATCCTTGTTCAACCAGCATCCAAGGCAAGGCCGGAGTTGGGGGCGCTTCCCGTCCGAGGGGGTCCCATAGACTGGTTAGCATTGCTATTTCAAGGCCAAATGAGATAGGACCTTTTCCCCAGGATGCTTGGCAAAACTCTCCTGGGGGATCTGGTACATGTCAACTCACTGCACAGATGGGGCTAAGGCAAAACTAAGCTTGGCATGAGCAACCAGTCATGAGGATGGCTGTAAGCAAGCAAGTTTCAGGGTCGTTCAGGTGCATTAGGAGGCGCGGCACGTGTGCATTAATTCAAAGCGGGAAACAGACAGAGAACGGAAGTGGCGGTACCTGGGATGGCTGTGGGCTGGGCTGAGGTCCTGAACACAAAATGGGCTGCCTTGGATTTTCCTTGCTGATTCTCAGCTATCACATATACTTCATACTCGGCGTTCCAGTCCAGGGACTTGAGCATGACGTGATCACTGCCGGATGGGAGCCTGATTTCGGGTTTCCACTCAGAGGCAAGCTTCTGGGGACAGTCGGCAGGAAGGACAGAAGACACCAGGGAGCTTGAGTGAGGATGCTGGAGAGACTGGCTAAGCGGCACAGACTCAGGAGGATCGAAAACCATGGGGTCAAAATGTAAAATACGGGGACCAATGAAGATTTTCCATACTGGGGCATGCTTGCCAACATCAACAGCAAGGAATGTCAATATAGCATGGTTCTGACTTCATTGTCCCACCAACTCCAGGACTGATAAGGTTCAAACACTGTCCCCCACCTACCCTATCTCCCCTATGCTCTGGAACGCTAGGTACATGGCATAAGGGAGAGGTTCTTAGAGGAGTTAAGTGTTCTCAGTATATTTCAGAACGCTGTCCACATTCTGACAGGGGAATAGCACATAGGTTCCAATTTTACTGAAAATGCAAACCATCATCTATTGAGTATCTTCTATAGGCTAGGCTCTGCAGTTAGGGCTACCTATACCATTTCTCATCACATCCCTATAACAAACCTTCTGGGTATCACTTCAGGCTCTTACTAAATCTGATTATAGGGACAGGAGTAAGAGGTTAGCTGACTTCCTAACGTCACCCAGCACTCAAGGTTGGAGCTTAGCCGGTTCAAGCCCCAGCCTGTGCTTTCCTTTCATGATAGGGAGGCCAGCAAACATGTGTTGGACTGAACTGGGCTTTTCTAATCCCTGTAGTGTGGCCTGGCCTCATTGTGGCTGAACAAGTGAGGGATGTTCATTGAGCTCACAGTATCCCACTGTGCTTAGCAAACACTGGCTAGGGCACAAGGAGAGATGCAAAATTCTGGAGATCCCCCGTTTTTCACCCAACCTTCCCTCTAGGTATATCATCCATGCTTGCCAACGAGAGTTTGTTCTGGAAGGGAGTTTCCAAAGCCATCGCTAGGCAACCACCTGCATAACAAAACAGCATGGGAGAGGCCTCACATCCTCCTGAGAAATCTTCAGATGGTTTTCTAGTTGCAAAGCTCACCATGTCATAGTCTCTGGCCTTTTCAAAAGCCATGTACGCCTCAGGTACATGATAGGCACCCAAGGGGGTTTGACAAATATTTACTGAACGGGGGCTAGAACACAGCAACAGTGTCAGGAAAGAGGTGACCGGTCCTGGCCTGGGGCTGGAGGAAGAGATTTTACTGAGCAAAGTAGTTCTGATGAGTCACAAAGGTGCCGTTATGCTCATTGCAGGGCTTCGAGTATTGTGGGAAATTGCTCAGGGGGGGGGGGGGATTCTAGTATCCTCTAATCTAACCAGGAAGCCCGGGCTGGGCTGTAAGTTAGCTTTGCACATGTTGCTATGGTGCTGTTTTAATTTAAAACAAAGAAGCTGGGCTGTCTCTCTTTGCTCTTCTTTCTCTGTCTTCCTCAGCAAACATCATTACAAAAGAGACAACCAGACGATAAAGCAAACACTCAGGAGAGCAAACTTTATGCTATGTAATACATATTAATAATATGTGATTGCATTTAGCGAACATGAAGCTTCAAAGTGAAAGAGGATGGCTAAAGTCATTGAAATCTAAAATAGCTCAGCATTTTGTTCTTCTGTCTGTTAAACATAGCTGCAGTGACCGTTCAGGCAAACAGACCTCGAGACTGTCTTCCTACGGGAGAGATTTCTAGCTGGGTCCTGCATCCTAGTTACAATTCACAGAGGTTTCAAAGCATCCAGGATATTTTGGGATCTCAACATATATTGTAACTAATCTGACAGCTGAAGTTATTTTATTCCCATTTTGCAGATAGGGAAATGGAGGTTTGGGAAGATAAGATTATCTGTCCTTCAGATCACATGCTGGCAAATGGCAGCTGGAATTTGATGCCATCCAGGCTCATAATGGACAGAGGCATTGCACCCTACCATAGCACCTGCTCCAACTAGGTTATTCAGGGCCACCTGGCAAGTCTTGACATCCTTCCCCATAGTAACGAAACTACAGGAATTCCCATACAGTAGTATCTCTGGGTTGGCCCTTAAGGACGTTTACTGAGGCTTCTCCTACTATGCTGGCCCATATCTGACTTCTTCGAGAATCAGTTTGGAGAGCTGGATAGATAAAGGTCTGTCCCCTGGCTGTAGGGTGTGCATGCCTGTAGGGCTCTATGCTGGTCCCACATGCCATTTCCATGGGAACTATTCCCAGAAGCAGGAGATGAACAAACTTTCTGGGAAAAGCCTTATCTGGGGCTTCATGGAGAAAGCAAGCTGCTCTCTGGTCCATTACCTCCAACTACTAAGAAATCTCAGTAACAGGTTATTCCCAGAGACTGTTTCTAAAGCCCACCCCACCCCCTGCAACTGCTTGCCAAATGTCATTCTGAAACTGGAAAAGGTGAGGGTGATTCTTGGTTTGGGGGGTGGATGTAAGGATTCTGTCCTTAATTATGTCACCAGCCTGCGATGGCGTCCCAGCCTAAAAAGCAGGCGTGCCCTCTGTGCGTCCCTTTTCTCTTTCTGCTCTCTCTCCTTCCATCTGTCCTCTCTCTCTCTCTCTCTCTCTCTCTCTCTCTCTCTCTCTCTCTCTCCCTTTCTCCCTCTCTCTCTCTCTCCTTCTCTCTCCCAATAAAGCTCTAAAAAGGTAACTGTGGCTCGTGACTCTCCTCCAGCACTTAACCAACAGTGGGGATGAAAGATGGACTAGTAGAAATCTTAGGTAGGTGGTGAGCAAGCCACCAGGGAAGCTCCGTGTCAAGCTGATTGTTAGCAGTTAGCCCAGCTAAGGTGCCAAGAAGAGCAGGCAAGGGCTCCAGCTTGTGACCTTGAAATAAGTCAGGAGATAGTCTAGGTTCCTCAGCTAAATAGGACTGGATTCAAATTCTGCCTCACCCATCTGTGTGAGAACATCTGTTCCTGGCTGTGGTAGCTCTTGTTGCTTTGTCTCTAAAGTGGGGGCTAACTGTAATACCCACTTCATAGTGTCTGTGCAGGAAATATGCCTAGATAGAGCACCTGGTCCAGGAGACATACTTTATCAAAAGTAGTGACTTTTAGAAGGCAGCATAGAGATTTTGCACAGAAGTCCTGGATTATGGAAAAAACACTTTGTAGAAAAACTGAAATATCATGGTGATGTTCTCACCATCCTGGTCATAGTAGAAGTTTTCAAATGGTCCCACTGTGGTTATGGCCTAACAGCTATAAGTCAGACTTGGGATTTAAAACCTTGGGCAAGTTCCATGAGTCTCCTACAAAATGCCCAGTGGGATGCTGTCCTACCTCGTTTCACCTGGGATTCTCGAGTTCTCCATCCAACAAGGTAGGTGTCAGGGTCCCAGGGTGGGGAAAGGGGGTCTGAGGATGGAGGCTACTCACCGCTCGGTACTTGACCAGATAATGTCTGATTGGGGAACCTCCGTCATCCTGCTTGATCAGGTTCACCTTGATGGAGTTCCCATCTTCTCCCATCTGCCCTTCCAGCTTGGGTGCACTGGGTTCCCCTGAAACAGCCAGTAAAGTTCACGTGAAATCTGGGTTCATGGAACGAGAAGTGAGCCCATCAAATGGGATGGAGTGATGCGGTGGGGCTGAGTACTTTTCTTGCTTTTTCAGAAATTCAAATGGTTAAAAAGCAGTGGATTTAGAACTCTGAACCCCAGTTGGCTGCCTTATTTAGTCTTAGTTGAAGGTGCTTTGTGGGAATGTTCTGGAAAACACTCCCTATGAGCACAGCTTTCCTGTCTTTCTCACTGGAACTCACATTTCCTCCCACAACTCTGCAAGTTGGATTTCTATGAACCTGACATACCTTGACAGAGTGCCTGAAATATGGGCAAATGTAAGCAGGTCTGAATAGAAAATTTAAAAACATAGAATTACTTTTCGAATAGCCCTGTGTTTTTTATCCCTTGGTACATCATAACTCACCCTAGAGTCCCAAGGGCTTGGTCGCTGATGGGAGTGAATGATGCTGTGTTCTTGCAACTAGCTTTTCATGAATTAAATTTTATTGCTTAGGACCACTTAAAAATACGTTTCCAATTGTGGCTAAATAAAACACGAATTGCCATAGGCAAGTTTCCTGTAACTACATTTACGGCTCAGTTGAGTGAGTGATAATCTTTGGCTCTTTAATGTATTAAAGCAACAATCATTGCAGGTTTTTTTCTTTGTGAGAGAAGGGGGGGGAGATGGCTTTAGCATTGTACAATAAGAAAAACAAAGTTGCTTGCTTCTCTCTATCTGCAGTTTATGCTCACTTGGATGACAGCATTTTGATCTAAGTGGGCCAAGGAAGATGACCCTGTGTGTGATAAGCCAGAGAGCGCCAGGATGGCTCTGTAGCATGATGCTGATTTACTGTCCGAGAAACTGCCAGCATACACTAAAGGAGCAGATGAGGAAACGTGTAACCCAGGGTTGAAATTAAAACTCCTTGCTTGCCAGGAACCAGGACTTCCAGAGAGGACCAGACTGATCTATTTCTTGATCTCATGGGGAAGGTTGTAGTCCAGGTTACTTAAGCAGGTTACTGAGAAAAATGGGGATGTGACAGGAGAGCCAGGGAGGGACTTGTCACTAGGGAGAGAAGCTAATGACCTCACACTGCACCCCTGGCCATGAATGGAAGGCGGCTGGCACAGTTTTGGAGTTTAGCCTGGTCTCCTTGTTCAGCTGTTGGGAGCCTCCTCCCTTGGATTCAAAGGTGGGAGCAGAGAGAACAAGCCACCCAGAGCCCTACCAGGCATCCCCTAGGACACAGCATGCACATCATCTGGAGCTGGTTAGAAAGGCAGACTCCTGCAGTAACAGGACTTCTTGGTGAGGTGTGTGTATGGGTAGGCTTCGAGAACTGGGAAGAAATGAGGATGGGCACATACTGCAAAGGGGGGGGGGGCGCTCCTAGTGATGTCTGAAGGATATTTAGGAAAACTGAGTCTTAGTATCTGTTCCCTACAACTGGGAATTTAAGAAACACAAAAAATAAAAATACAGAGACAAATAGGTTTTAGAGAAATAGTTGTCCTTTTTTTTTTTTTTTTTTTTATAAAGCTAGAATGTAGCCACTGTCCCCAGCTATTTAGAGAAAAGCATTTAGACCTGGTTTGGACATGTCAGTCTATGTAGACTTTCCAAATTTCTTTGAGCTTTTCTATCATTTAGGCAATAAGTGTCTACACCATCATAAATGTCCAGTGGGACTCAGAGTCTACTGTAGAATAAGGTAGGGCCTCTTGGAAGATTCCACAATGCTGAACACAGCAGTGCTGGAGGAGTCATGAGAGAACTCAACAAATTCTATTCTCTGACAGAATTAAGGTGACCATCTCACCCCAGGGACCCTCAAACATTACAGGTTTTAGCATTGAAGTTTAGCACTATCCCAGGAAAACCCTCAGTCCTAGGCTAACTGTGATAACGGTTGGTGGCCAGGACTGAATGGAAATGGTATTATAGCTTTTCTGCACTGAGGATCGAAACATGGACTGGGTTGGGTGTCTCCCTGCTGAGAAAGGAGGGGATTCACCAGGCAGGTGGTTGCCTGAAGCCTCCTTGGAGTGAGGTGGAGGGGAGTCCATCCAGCTGCTTTGTTACACCCTCGCTCACTACTTCCTCTCAGAAGAGAGCACTGTGGATATTTAAGGCAGAATCAAGGGTTGGAACACCTCCTATGAACTCTGCTCGGTAGGAGGTATAAAGCGTCATCTGCCTTAGTTTGTTTCCAACTTTGCCTTGGTTATCCCTCACAACACCATGGGGATGGAAGACACAAGAAATGGACTTCAGCCAACTTTCTTCAGGAGACACACCTTAAGATAACAACTCAATATCTTGAAGACACACAGTTGTCAACTTCTTGCTTTACTATTTGGTAAAGTTTTCTTTAAATATAATCTTGTCTTTGAAGAGAGACTTCCAAATCCCTTTAAAGGCATGTAAATGAACAGGCATCTTTCCCAGGAGTCCCTGAAGAACCCAGCAGGCCTGTTGAAGGCAGTTTCTTATCTCTCCATTTGTTTCAGGAAAAAAAAAAAAAAAATATATATATATATATATATATATATATATATATATATATATTTAATTGGGATCTTAAAACAACTCCTAAAAACTGTACTGCAGCTCTAACATTTATCCTACTCAAAACAGTAGAATTAGCTATCATTCTATCTGATGAGGTTACTCTGATACATATTTATTTTCTCTCGAGTGCAGAACATTTTATATCATATAGTATTTAGGTTATCATTTAGAAAGCTTTGCCTATGATTACTCATACAAATATGTGTTGTATTGAGTTCTAGAAGTTGTCTATCAGGCAATGATATCTCAAGGGTGAATGAGACATGATTTTCTAGCAAAATGAAAAATAATATAGTTATGATCATTAAAAAGATAGTGGGGTCCTTGGGCAGTACTATAACCTTTCCTATACAGTACGCCTGAAGGAGAACCATTTTCAGCTAATGCAGAGCTTTGGACCAACTTGGTGGCCCTACAAGTTTTTGTAAGTACATTCAGATTGGGGAAGGGCAGTTGTTAAATCAATTATCTTACAAATCTTCAAATGCTTGCTGTCTATTTTTCCTTACAGATTAGGAATGGGGCTGACAAACCTTTCTGCACAAAACCAGACTTGGAGGAAGGGAGTATTGCAGAGACCTGGGGGCCTCAGTGTTAAAGAGGCTCCCTGCTTAATTGAACACATTAGCAGAGGAAATGATTTGGGGGAGGGGGTCCCAAGGTTCTGGGGTGGCTGCTGCTGTGACTGAAATCATTATGGGCAATTTCAGAAAAACCAATATTGTAATTATTTGTAAATGTTGGTTTGCCGTTCATCAGCAACAGGCAGCTTGCTTTAAGAAGACCCCTGGGGTTAATTATACCTTTGAGTGCAGCTTCATCTAGGACTCAAATTTTTTCCCTTACATATTTTATGCTAAAGCTGAACACAGCACTACTTTAAAAATAAACCTTGACGATAACAAATATGAAATTCTGGACAGTTCTGATATTGTCCAGCAGAATACAAATCATACATGCAAGGAAAAAATAGTTTGAAAAAGGCCAAGTAGTGTCGGATATATCGTGGGCAGGCCCTATGAGAGCCCTCCCGGAAACCATAATTGAAATGTATATTTCTGGCCATGGAGATTACAGGTTCTTCCTTTGGAATTACTGGGCGTTTGAGCCCTTAAATCTGAGTCTGCTTCATGCCTTTGCATTTATCATCAGGGGCCTGGAGGTGGAGAAGAACTCCTGGATGCATGACTTTACAACAAAAATCACAGCAAGCCCAGGACTTGGGGAAGCGTCTGTGAACTGTGAAAGGAGAACAAGATTCTCTGGTCCACTCCAGGAAACACAATGGCAACAGGATGCTTAGCATGAAAGACCAAGGGTCCGCAGAGGCCACCCTCGCCCCGCCCCAAGCCTCTGTCTCTGTTCTTTGCTCACCCATTTTAAATGCTTATTTTTAATTATGCATGTATGTATGCATCTGTGTGTGGGCTTGGGTACAGAAGTGTAGGTGCCCAAAGGGATCAGAAGGGGGTTGGTTGTCAGATCCTCTGCAGCCACCCAATGTGGGTGCTGGAACCAACTTGGGTCCCCTGGAAAAGCAATACTCTTAACTGCTGAGTCAACTCTCCAGCCCTCATTCACTCTATCTTCTCTTTCATACAGATCTGCACGGAGGTCTGTGATCTCAGCTACACTCATGATTAACTGGTAATGGATCTAGAGGTTGAAGTCTAGTATGTTTACTATCAAATAGCACTGTTGTGAATTAAAACACTGCTCATTTTTCTTATCCCAGTTCCCGTCTTCTTTGTTTAGTTATTTCTTACCAACCATTTTAACCTTGTGTATACCTTTTTTTTAATTATATGCATCTTTATAAAGTTCCAAAATGGATGATTTCCCTATTCAGATGGGAAGCCTATTTCATGTCTCCAGCTCCGACACATTATGGTTCCATCAAGGAACAATATTGACAGGTCCTTTGGGGATTAGCAAATTGCCTTGGGGAATCGGGATTTAGAGTTATTAGGCCACTAATTCTCCTTCCTGAAATGGAGTTCTTTGCTAAAGATGTCACACGTGTGACTCTAATGTGATGTAGTCTGTGTCCGTTCTCTGTCCTTATAACTCTCCCAGACACATCTCTGGATTTCCCACACTTTCAAAGCTTAGCTCTGTGATGTTAAAGATAAAGGTGCCATTTTGTCTTCAGCATTGTTCACCCCAAACAAGGCCTCTGAAGACAAGTATTCCTTTTCTTTGATCGAAGGTGACCCGACTTTGCCACCCTGGTCCCTGGCTTCAGGGGATACTGAAATATGGAATGAATGGGTAGGGATGTGGCTGCTGGCCCCTTGGGCTTTATTTATTTAAAATGTGTATGGGTGTTTCACCCACACATATATGTCTGTGCAACATATGAGTGCCTGGTGTCTAAGGAGGCCAGAAGAAGGCATCCGATCCTCTAGGACTGGAA